TTCTTTATTTTTCTCGCTGGTACTCCCCATTCATAAATTTGTACCCCCACCCCCTAAATATTGTAATTGCGTAGGACTTTACATTTCCGTATTTTATCGCTTTCAAGTGTAAATGCTAGTGATTAGGATATGTATGGTAAGATAAAATCAATGAAATAGAAAATCCTAATTTAAGATAAAATCATGCATGCAATCAAACACACTTGCACACAAACACCCTTAGGGTTTCTCCACTTGGTTTCCTTATACAAAAATAGCCATGTTACGCATGCAAAGTATCTTGGTAAAACAAACAAAATCAAAAGATCATAGTCTCTCGATGACGTTATTCAAAGTTGCCTTACAAAATGATCTTAGTCCCTCGAAATGCTAAGATACTTTGCAACATTGCTAATCATAGTTATACGATGACCCGCGCCCGTCCCATTAAACTCCAAAGATAGGGTTGCTTACCAAATCAATGGTAAGACGACAATGTCAAAGGAATAAAAAACGCATAAGAAAGACATTTGAGTAGGTAGATTGCTTCTAGTTACTTGCTCTATTTCCAAACAACTATCCTTTCTATTTTCGAAAATACACACATCTCTAAAACATTTTACAAACATTGAAAACATTTTCAAAAAAAAAAGACAAACATCTTTGTATACATTCTTACGAACGAGAATCATTACAAAGATTGCCTAAATGAATGGCCTCTTTTACAAAATACTTTCAAAAACCACACCAAGCACATTTTCAAACAAACGAAAGCAAGTTGATCTAGCAAGTAACTAAGAGCCCATGGAAAACCATGGATGAAAAGGGTGCTAATACCTTCCCTTTTCATAATCTACCCCCCGAACTCAAGAAAACATCTCAAAGGTCTTTCCTGTGCTTTTTCACCTTTCCTTTTGGATAAAAGAAAAGTCGGTGGCGACTCTTGCTAACTGCAACATTTGAAAACACAAATACAAACCCTCAAGTCAGTTCTTCCACCATACCACACCTGCTCTAATACCAATTGAAATTCTAGCTATCAGATCCTGAATGTCTTAAGAGATGTCGAGACACCAGATTCGACTTCAACAGAAAAGTAAGATGTATAAACAAAAATAGCAGTGTCGAAAGTAAATAACACAAGATATGTTTACCCAATTCATAACAACTTTTCTAATCTGGAGGCTACCAAGCCAAGGACAAAATTAACTAGGTAGTATAAATTTACAGACCTTACACCAAACCTCCGGTTTACAGTCTACGCACTTAATCATTACCCTTTGCTTAACTTCTACCTAAGAAACGTCTAAGTATGAGGCCCTCCTCAAATTCCTCTTCAATTACACTCAACAATTAGAGAAAAACTCTAAACACAAGTAGATAACAAAAACAACTGGAAGTTATACTTCCAAAACACGCAAGATTCAATGCTTAAAAGCTTATGAGAATTGACAAACAATATATTCAATGCTTAAAAGCTTATGAACATCTCACAGAGAACTTACAACTCAACAAATAAGGATTCTAAAACCCTAACACAAATACATCTGTAAGTTCCACATAATACTAGTTATACACCAGTCTATTTATAACTTTATTCTAGACTGAGTTGGGCTTCAAAACCGCATCAGTGAGGCTGCACAAAGTCTGCAAAGACTTCTCTAAGAAAATAGGCATTCAATCATTAGTTTCCTAAAATGTCTCCATATTTAAAAATTAATCAAATCATCAAAAACAAATCACCAAATACACTGATTTGTTAATCTTGGACGCCATATAAACTAATTAATATTCCCTGAATATCCAATAGCTAAAAATCAGTTGATCCACACTATCAGTTTGCTATAGATTGCGATGTCCTATCTCCTTATTGAAATATCTTACTTGACATGTTGAAACAGAATATTGGAACATCTTGTTCAACATGTTACTGCTAAAATGATTTTACCAAAATGTAAGCTAACCATAATTTCAGAAAAATAATAATCCTTACTACTAATATTTATACCATTACCTTTATCTACTTATCTTTGTTAATTTTTCCTATGTAGGATATGCGTTGAATGAGCCAACATTTAACTATTATTATGAGGAAATACGAAGAACAAACATAGAGGCTTTAAGGTGGATAGACAATATTCTATAAGACAAATGACCAAGAGCGTGTGACAAAAGACAACAAAGGGAACACATGACAACCAACCTTGTTAAAAAGCCCAATGCTTAAGGCCACGTGCAACCTTCTTATCACTTCTTTGATACAATCAACATACTATCAGTTGGGATCTCTGTTTGGTAAATGAGACCATCAATGGACAAAAATGTTTGTGGCGAACTAGACTGAAAATTGTGTGTATTATATAAAGACAGAGTCTTACTTTTTTTTCAAAAATAAGAGTCACGCTCTTTAAAAGCCTCTATTCGATGATGACTTAAGCATGTCTTCTTTCTTTATTTTAAAAGGGGCGTTTTTCGATGTATCTCTCTCCAAAGAGAGCCTGTGATATCTTAGGTATTTTTCCCGTGACTCTTGGACAAGTTTTCACAAAAAACTGGAATAAAGGAATGGTTGAAGAAATGCATAAATCCAACACTCATAATGTCATGCAATCTAATTATGAGATATTCTATTTCATGATCTATGAAACAATTAACCAGAATGAGAGTCGATCAATATGTACTTTCTCCGATGACATCATGAAACAATGGTGTGATTATGAGAAATTTCAAGCTTTTCACTTACCTTGCTCACATGTTATCGCAACATGTTCTAGTATACGTCAAGACTACTTCATGCACATAGTAGATGTGTACAAAGCTCTAAACATATTTAAAGTCGGTAAGAAAAACTTCATTGGACTTCCCCGTGAAGATAACATTTCACAATATGAAGGATTTACTTTGTGCCCCCATAAGTTTATGGGAAGAAGAGAAAAAAAGGACGCCCAAATATTACTCGTATTAGAAGTGAAATGGACAGTATTGAGAAAGAAAAAAGAAAATGTGGATTTGTCGCCTAATTGACCATATTCCTAGAAATTGTCCGGATGCTAAAAGTCTTCTAAATTATTATCTAATGTTTATATGTTTGCTGCAAACAGTACGAAATTATTTAAAATTAAAAAATTCTAATTACAAAACAGTAATTCATAGATATAAAGTAAAATCACATCAATTAAAGTCTAATATATATCTTAATAAACTAATTAATAATAACACATAAAACAAGTGGATCTTCAACTTAACATACATCTTAATAAACTAATTAACGACAACACATAAAACAAGTGAATCTTCAACTTCTCTATTAATTTTTCCTCTATGAATTCCAAACAAACATGCAATAGACATCAAAATCATTTTGTATACGATCCCAATAATATTAGTAGGTGACATTTGGACTATCATTTGTCAAATTTATGCATAGACAACAATATTTTACTTTTTCTCGCCTTTCTAATTCGACCACTTAATTGTCAAAAACATATATTGATAACAGTAATCAGTGTTATGAAATCTTAAATGTGAATTTAGACTAACATTTATTTTCTTCTCATGCTCATAAAACACATTAACTCATATGATATGGTTACAAAAAATATGTGCTAAATGAAATGAATAATACTTATATCAATGTTATTTATAGAAGATCATTACACAAACTAGTGGGCTTTCCATCAGACGTTGGTTTGCGGCCAAAGACAACTCTGTCCAATAGATATTTCGGATGCTTAAAAGAAGGAATTAACATCTAACCCTTCAGTCAGTTGTACATGCCACACTCCAATTTTTGTTATTTTCAAAAATGTCCCTGAACTATTTAGGGGGTGTCCAAGGTTGAAATTTCTGTTTTTTTACAAAATTTCTGATAAAATTTCAAAAAATTTGATATTTTTGCAAAATTTCCAATATTTTTTTGAATGAAAAGAAATTTTAATTTTGAAATATATTAAACTTTTCGATATTATACTAAAAATTTCAAAATTTCTAATAGTGTGAAAATATACGGGAAATTTTAAAATTTTCAATACTTTATTGGAAATTTCAAAAAAAATCGATATTCTTTGAAAATTTCGAAAAACTTCTTTCATAAATTTCAAAGAAACCGGAATTTTCTTAAAATTTTCGATATACTCCTCCAAGTTTCCGATAAAAAACTCATTTTTTTTTTAAATTTGATTTAGAAAATTTTTAAAAAAAATGGAATTTTTTTTGAAATACACCTCTTAAATTTCCGATAAAAACTCGTATTTTTTAAAATTTAGTGATTATTTACAAAGATATAATGATAAACGCATTCGTATAAAGAGTGACATGTATAATTAGAGGGGTGAGATGTTAATTTCTCACTTTAAAATAGATCATATAGAAACTTTTTTCCTGTGACTTATTATTTTTTATTTAATTTTGTTTAACTTATTTTGTTTGATTAATTACTTCAGGTACATTGATTATTCAATGTATCTAAAAAGAAAATTATTTCTTATAAATAGGACGGAGGGAGTATTAAATTAAATAATTAGAATAATCATTTTTAAAAATAAATATTTATAGTTTTAAAAAACTAGTATCTTATGAAAAATTATAATTAAAATAATTATTATATTGGGGGGAAAATTCTTTTGGGGCAGAACAAAACATGCATTTTGTCTATCTCTCTTGTTAGCATTACACCGTGGCATCCAATAGAAATTCTTGAAGATATGTCAAATTGGGAAACTTCAGTTCCACTAAAGTGTGAAGTGTTTAAAGTTAAACCATGGTCAAATTCAAAAGGTAAACTACTTTGAAACACATTAATATTTAAGTTCAATCGAGATCCAGGAGACTGAAGGGTTTTGCCAAATATAAACTACAAAACTAACCTGATTCATGTCTCAAAAATAGGGGAAGTAAAACAAGAAAACTATAAAGTCAGTGACATTCTATTACATTTAGTTTTGAGATGCTAATCCATCTTTCCCCATTGTGTGCAAGCAGCAGGTCCACCCACAGCTAACAACATCAATTCCAACAGAGTGTCAGAGTTTTGACTCCAATGCTAAAAGTATCTTCTTTCTGGGCCCCTAGAACCAATAAACCATAATTACAATGCGTTTTTAACAAAATATAGAGAGGATTACCAAATCAGAAGTCATATTTGAACATAAAAAATCGGACACCATTCAGAGTCCCTTTGTATTTTTTTGTATATGTATAGGTGTATTTTCGAAATCCAAGAAAGTGTATGAGATTATAAAGTAGGCAAGTGATAGAGATAGAGGTATAAGAGAGGTATACTGTGTCAATTTCGGTGTTCAAATATCACAACTCTTACCGAATGGATTACAGATTAGACCTAAGAGTATGTTTAGCTTATCTCAAAGCAAGGTAAATGCAATCATGACATGAAGATATTGGTTAATAACTATACACCAACAATATAAATTATAAAACACAAAATCTAATCATATTTGACCATCTTTTCACATCATCATATTATTATATAAATCATGTTCACATGGTGACATAATGGTGAGGTACTATGATTGAATATCTGTTTAGAAGTTGTTTTCACTGTCAATATATAGTTATGAAGTACAGACTATCATATCATAATCACATAAACAAAACTTTCAGGAAAATGGTATTATAGTCAAAAAAGAAAGAAAACAAAAGTCACGTTACCTATGGATCATCAAAATGTTACTGAATAAAACAGAAGAAAAAACACAACACAAGTCCAACACTAGATTGATGCATACCATTGGTATACCCATGACCTTGAGGTCCTCATCATTCATATGTTTGAGAGCTGCCATATCAACCTGGAAAAAACAGCTTTTACATATAATAATAACTCATGACAAGCAAATAAAAACCCAGTTAAGATGATTAACTTTTGTAATGGAGGAAAAAGATATGCAGACGTATGACATACTTCTTCAGCTTGAAAAGTTATGAGATACTTTTCGAGACCCAAGGACAGCAAAAAATCATCCACTGTAGTTTCAGCCTGTAAAAATAGCAGATTAATATGCTTTTAATTTTCTTCTATTTAGTAAAGAAATTACTGATATTAAGAAAATTGGAAGGACGTGGCTTTTGCCTATTACGAACATAAATTAGCAAGGTTTCATCTATTATCGAGAACAGAAGAATTTATAAAATAAATAAACATAAAACTTAGAACTATACTAGATTGAACATAAAAAATGATTCATCCATATTTCATAAGACATGGCCTGTTTAACAGGGAATGCAACAGACAGCACACATCATACATGTAAAGGAAAAAGGGACAATGGAACATGGTGTGCACTATGAGTGACATCACAAACATCAAACAATAGATTTAAATGGACCACTAACAAAAGTTACAGCAATAATACCTTCCGTGCCTTCTTAGGAGCTGGGTTAGCTGGTCTTTTGACTGCAGGAGCCTCCGCGCCAACACTTGTATTGCTCGGTTTAGCAATCACTTTTGACTTCGGTGGATCGGAGTTTTTAGGTTGTGAATTCATTGTCCCTGATAGTCTTTCGCGGAGATCTCGGATGTTTGGAGCCGAACTTTTTCCAGGCCTAGTTGCAGGTTGAAGACCTTTCTTTTGAAGCTTATGACGAAGATCTTGACCAGTAACTTTGCGATCTTCACAAGCCATTAACAAACAGTCAAAAACCCATAAAAAAGAACTATTGGCATCCAACAGTGGTAACTTATACTTGCATATGAGAATAACAGAATCAATCCATACTAGTGGTCTGGGGTTGTTCATCATCATCATACAGATCATGTTCCCACTTGTCATCCTGTCTCGCCCTACCAAAAAATAAAAGATATCATCATTTTTTATTTCAATATGCATTCAAACATCCAAGATGAACTTGCTACATAAGAAGCATATAGTGACCAAAGCTGTTACAGGTAACCAATCAAGTAGAATATACAAGACCCAACTGAAAAAGCAGTAATTCAACAGCTGCATGAAAGAGACTTGGTTTGAACTTGTCATTTGTCAAAATTACAAATCAAAGATGTTAAATGTATCTTCTGACTACAGTGAATTCTACCAAGGGAATGACCTGGCATTATATGATGCTACAAAATACCTATAGTTTATGGAACAGAACTGTTATATCTGGGCAACAAGAGATAATAACCACATACATTTACCCTGAATGTAGACTAAAACTTGGTAGAATAAACTAATTTATGTAACTAATATCTACAAGACGGTCAGGTAAAGAACTAACAATTTCCTGAAAAAGAAACCTTCCAATGATGTAAATTTACCCAAATAACTTATTTTCTAAGATGGCATGTGAACATGCCTAAGTGAAAAATAAACTGAATAAATCAAAAAAAAAAAGTGTTTCATATGTCTGGAATGGTTAATGACAGTTGATGGAGAACAAATCTCCTTTCAACAATGGAATTTGAAAGTTATTGGAAACAATACTGACACTGTGGGAATACTCCCTACTGAGATGAGAATGGCTCTCACTACTAAATCCCAATTTCCACTCCAAAACAAACCTGCCTTTCTTTTGGCATGCCTTCCCTTATATGCACATCTTTCTCACTCTGACCTTGCATGCCCACTCCCTCTATTTCCTTTCCCAGTATGCCGTTTCTTCTATAACATGTTTAAGAAGCTTATCACATCACTATTCACCAGTAATGAATGAACTAGCTCACGCAACATTTTGCAAAAGTGTCAGCTCGTCGGTGCACTGCAGTATCACCTAACAGAAGCTAATACTTCCTAATAAAGTCAGTGAGGAAACTACAGTGCAACAGAAGATTTATGGCACATATCAGCAAGAGTTAGGTGGAAGGGAAAATGAATGGGAGATTTCATGTAACTACCAAGACACTAAGAACAGGTTAGAGAATTGAGGAAGGTGTAGCGGCTCTATAGCATAGCAGAACTTGAATAAATCGATAGTATTGTTGTGATGCACTATTTAGTTAAAAATAATGACAATTTCATGTTGTAGCTGCACTACAGCCATGCTGCACTGTTACATGCCAGAATCTGAACAAACCATTATTTACGGCTATGCGCGATTGACAACGAAGTGTGAATGTAGTCGGATAAAAATGCTTTTAAAAATAGGGAGTGGGAGAAAGAGGAGGAATTAGCTAGAGAAGATGTATTTGGTGGATTCGATCTTTCCAAGGAAAATTGGGTGGTCAGCTGTTCCTAAGACTAGCATCCTCTGAGAGTCATCTGTAATTTGTTTAACTTTGGGGTTGAGTGAGAAAGTGAAAAAAATAATAATAAATAAAGATAATAAGGACAGAGTGTTCTCTGTAAAGTGTGTAATTGGTATTCATCAAATGAACAAAATGTATAGTCCTTATCACTGGAAGCTACTTTGAATAAACTTTTCAATAAGCATTTATAAGTCATAACCAAAGAAAATAGAGGTTGAAATGATTAAGAAATCAGAGTCTTATCAGTGAAAAATAAATTCTGGCATAATGTGAGATCGGTAGCTCAACTTTTTTGAAAGTTCCGTCATCTAGTTTCTTCATGAAAACTTAAAGCTATAAGTATAAACTGACAACTTGTAAACAGGAGCTTCCTCAGCTTCCTATTCTTTATATTTATGAGATATCTCAGAAGCTCTGTCGAACTTCTCCCATAAGCTGATCCAAACTAGGCTAGAATACAACAGAATATTAAATACACAGCTGATTGACCCAATCCTCAATCTGATTCTTGGACTTAGAGGTGAGTTAGAAAAACACTCTCGATAGACTGAAGGATGAAAAGAGTGCAGAGTGTGTGTTTCTAGCAGTAAAAGACTGCTTATTTGTTGAATATGCCTATAAAAATAACTACATATCCAAATTCCAAAAGTAGTCTTTTCAATTTATTTCAATAAGCTTTCCAAAATAGTTTATCAATAACACTAAAGTAAACTTCCTACAAAAAATTACTAAATAAGCATTTAATCAAGTTATTTGCCTGAATGTTTCCCTAGTCCTTTGTCATTAACTCTCTCCTATATTCTTATTTCTGTCCGACATCGAGCTCCAGCTTCTATATTTCACCAGGTCCATCTTTTAAATTTCCCCCAAACTCTTCTTCTCTCTCACCTACACATACTAGTACACTGTCTAGTCTCGTAAATCACTCACCACTACCTTCCACATCAACAGTTACAAGTCACAAGTGTATAACCGGCACTATACCTCAGAGGAAAGTTGCTAGGGAGTCATACAATGAATAATTATGCTTTTTCGGCCAATAAGACTTGGTTTTTAGTCACTAATAACTGGCAGAAAAGAACAGCAATTGGCTATACATGGGTGTTTCAGGTTAAGGAAAATCTAGACAATTCTACCAATAAGTATAAAGCCCGTCTAGTGGCTAAAGGGTTCCATCAGCAGCCAAGGTTTAGATTTAATAATAGAGAGACATTCTCTTCAGCATTCACAAACTTTAGACAACTCAGGTGGTTCTCACCTTGAGCTCTCACTAATGGTTGGCCTATACATCAGCTGGATGTGAATAATGCACTAATACCCTATAAAGCTCACACACACCCAAACATGACTGCGACACTAACATGGCGACAGCGGTAACAATTTGAAAAAATAAATAAATTAAACATAATCACAAGTGTCATTGTAGGTGCCCGACATGGGCACACCTTTTTTCATAGGTGCCGGCGCTGCATAGCTAATACCACTCCCACTTCTTTCTCCAATCATTCAAATTTAGAAAAATATTCCCAAACATATTAAATATCAACTAAACGCTTTTGTTAATACAAAAATGGCAAAATGAGGTTTCAACCCAAAGCCCACACACAAACTACTCAAGTCCCTCACCCCTATCTCAATCTTTATAGCTTAACTAAACAAGTTTATGAATATTTTACCTAAAATCTACAATTACTTTCATATACCTTGAAAACAAAGGCTAACAAAATACCATACACAACCTAGATCCATATCCTAAGTATTTTAATCAACAAAATTTCTATAACCACAACAAAAACATCACACATACAAAATAATCATTACACTAACAGCATGAATGAATAAAAACTTCAAAAAGCAAACCTCTTGCCGCTAACTTGGCGTTGCTGCCGAGTAGATACACCGATGCTCCCATCAAGACGTTCCTTCACCGACCTCCTCGCTCCATTTTCCACCCGATCAGCATACATTTTCAACGATTTAGTAAGTTTTCCAAATCAAGAAAAATTAGCCCCAAACCTACGAACCCTAATTTCAAATCAGAGTTGAGATGAAATATAAAGGGAAATGCACTATTAGCGGAGGAAAAAAGCTGATAGGGTCGCAAAAATCAAAAACCCTAACAACCGCAAATTTTTGTTGTTGATCGTGAAAGAGAGTGGTATCGGAGAATAAATAAAAGCGGTTTTCTGAATCGGAGTTGCAGAGAAAAGCTATGAATCGAAGTGTAGCTTTTTTGGAGTGAGGTTTTGAGCGGAGAGAGACAGGGGGGTAAAGGGTAAATTGTGAAAGGGTTACGGGGCACTATTGGTTTTGGCGCTTCACGAGAAGAAAACGTTGCAAACGACAGCGTTTCATGAAAATACAATTAGAAAGAAATTAAGTAATGGACTTGGTTTTTCTTTACTAAAAAATTACTAAGTAATTAACAACATCTAAGGTCGTAAATGAGTCTACTCGAGTCGGTCTCAACTCATTAAAAATTGGTTTAATTTTTATTTTATTTTTATTTTTAATTTAATATCGACCGACTCATTAAAAATCGGTTCAATTTTAATTTTAATTTGATATAAAAATTTAAGTTTAAACTGATTTGTTATAAATTTAAGAATAATTCGATACAATTTATTAAATTCATTTTGTTAGGTTCAGTTCGTTTGTTTTATAAACTTAAAAGTTTTTTTTTTTTACATATATTTGATATTTTAAATTAAAAATATAGAAAAAAAAAATAAATCATTTTTTAGTTATTTAAAAAAAAACATAATTTATAGGCAAAATACTTTTTCCCCTTAATTTTACTTCAGAATTTATTTTGGTCTCTTCCTTTTTAAAATATTCAAATAAATATGGATCTTATTGATTGATCAGAATCTGAAGTGGATTGAGAAGATGACATCTGCTTGGCTGGAAATCTGAGGAGAGAATGTGGGTGTATCTGCAAGGCACTTCGACGCTCAAGTGAGAAGGAGTGCAAAGAAAGATATTAGGGTTTTTTAGAGTGATTATTCGATATCTGACCCTCACGAGTGTGAGGGTTAATATAATTCCCCTGGTGCGTAGCTGTTGGCTCCTAAATTCGACACCTTTGTTTTGATTGATGACAGCCATTAAAAGCTGAAAGATGCTTTCGACTGGCTAAGCCTGTCGAAGTGCCCGTCGAAAGATGGCCAAATACTTAGAAGATTTCTTCCAAGGAAGAAGGCTGATTGCCTTCGACGTCGAAGGAGTTTTCGTCGAAGACGTCTCTTGACGAACGTGTTCGATGGTCCAGAGTGGAGCAGTTTGAAATTCAAAGCTTTGGAGGGAAAACGGTTTCCAGCAGTTACTACGTGCAAACGTGCAAGGATCTGGAGCGTCGAGCATGGAGAACGTGACAAGTGGCTTGATCTCGAAGCAGTGTAACTGCCCGACGGTTACTTGGAATGTTTTTGTATAAATAGGAGTAGACGTGTAGTTTCTCGCGTGTGTTCACAATAAATACATAGTCACTCATTTAGATTCAAGTACCCAGTGTGAGCGAACGAATTGTTGAGAAATGTATGTGTGAAACACCAATTTAATCAATTCAAGTCATTTACTTTTCCAGTATTTTACATGCTTTTCCCCTTTAAGATTCCCGTCGAACCTTTACATTCAAGTCTTGTTTATTTTACCAAGCCTTTCCTTTATGCAATTTACTTTAAACAATTTACTTAAAGCCTTATCCACATTAATTAAACTTCAAAATCAACCTATGTCCATAGGATCAATCTGATCGATCCTGCGAGTAACCAAATAAGTAACCATTTGGAGGATCAGCGGTTGTTTACCAAAACCATAGGTAAACAAATTGGCACACCTGGTGGGACTGTGTGTTGATTGATTGAAAAATAATCTCATCTTTTCGAGTTGTATGTTATTGAGGAGTGGTAGAATATACACCAACGATAATAATACTGCCAGAAGAAGGGAGGAGATGGCGAATCCGCCAAATAACAATGAAATTCCACCACCAAGTGTGGGAGCAACGGTTAATATGACCGTGAGTGAAGCGACGAATGTTGGTTCGATGCCAGCAGTGTCAGTCACAACCACGGGGCCAACAACTTCGTTTGCAGGCCCCAGAATGACTTTGGGAACTCCCCCTCCAAGGGGAAATATAGGCACAAGGCCTGTGGTTCCCCCAGGATTCATTCCATTCTATGGCATGCCAACTTCTGAAGTGGCAAGCCTGACGAATGCTGCGTCCACTTATTCAGACCCTTTCGTGAGTGCCACTTCGCCACTCCAAGGCTCTGGAGTAGGCATGGCGAATAGAAATAGGACCCAACTCTTAGGAGGAACGTCCCAAGTAGCCCATGGCCTTACAAATGCCTCGACAGCAGTCTTGAGGCAACAGATGGACGAAAGCAACCATGACATGGTGCAAATGTTGGCACAAACTTTGAGTACAGTGCTAAATCCTCTAATACAAAATACTACTCAGTCGAATCAGCAAGTTACAGCGCAAATGACGCGTTTGGCTGACTTCTTTGGAGTACCCCCACCTATTCGACAGCCCCAAAGGGCGCAAATAAGAGGAAATCAGGGGATATTTGTAGAGGAGGAAACCACCATTAATCAGGCTCAACAGCCTGTAGAACAACCAGTCGAAGAAGCCAGGCATTAACATGGTCGAAGTCTCCAAGGACCACATCAACATGCCAATATTTGGCAGTTTTTCTGGAAACTTATCCAGGAAGACAATTGAGGCTGTCCAGAAAGCGGTCGAAGATCCAAAGTCGAAGACTGCTGAAGCACAAAAAACTGGACCAAAGTCCAGTTCCCACTTGGCCACTGTTCAAGGCCAGACGGAGAATCTGGAGACACAAATGAAACAACTAACTCTTGCTACCAAGGATACAATGAATATCAACATGGTTGAACTTTCTGACCCTAAAACTTCAGAAGAAGCCATCAGGCAAGAGCAGGCAAATAAAACGGCTTTCCCTAAGGAAAACGAAAACTTGGCAGATTTTTTACAAAGATGCCAGAAGAAGAAATCAGAGGTGATGCTATGTCCCAGATGTAGTTCTATCTTTGATAAAAAGGCTGCTGAGCACATACAAGGCGTGAGAGCAGCGAACAAGAGAAGGGAGAATTCTGACCTTCGACATGATCCCAGAAGGGGTTCCAATCAAGACAAGAGGCCTTTGACTTTTAGGCCTCCGACAAATGTACCAGTAGACACTTGGTACAAAACATCTGGCCGGAAAAGGCCAAGTGAAGAGAAATGGCATTCTTTCGAAGTGCCAAGAGGTTCCTCTTTAATCCAGAAGAAAGAGTCTCCAGTTGCTGCACCCAAGGTTGCTCAAGTGTCCAGCAACTACAAGGGAAAAAATCCTATGTCGAGATCCCAATGGAGGAGATATCAAAGAAGGCGAAAGGCTGAAAGAGAGGCTGCCAACGAGCCTAAGGCAGAAACGAGTTCGAATATGCCTCAAAGGAAACAAAGAAAGCCTCTTGAAAGAGAACCAGTTACCAACAGGCTAGTTTGGCCTAACCAGAGCGAAGTCGAAGACGAAGATGATGCTGAGTCCGACGATACTCTGGATATAATGGTGAACGTTGTCTCAATGCTACCCAGGGAATTCAATCGACAAGTAGAAGTCGAAGCCAGTGACTGGGAGGTGGAACAAGAAATGGCCAGACACAGGCCAGTGTGCTATTTTGTCATGGACAATGGCACTACAGAGGAACAAAATGGCTTCTTCGAGCCACCCACAGAGGCGATGAAAAATCACCTCAAACCTTTGTTCATAAGGGCCAAGCTCGAAGAGACCACTGTGAACAAAATATTGGTCGAATGTGGGGCCACTATCAATATTATCCCTCATTCTGTGCTAATAAAGATTGGCAAAAGGGATGAAGAAATCAAACCTCACAATATGGTCCTTTCCAACTATGAGGGAGGCATTGGGACCACCATGGGAGTGATCCAGCTCGACATAAAAGTTGGGTCGATCCTTCGACCAACAATGTTCATGGTCATATCAGCCAAACCTAACTACAACCTTCTGTTAGGCCGTGAGTGGATACATGGTGTAGGTGCTGTGCCTTCATCGATGCATCAAAGACTGCTTCTATGGCGCCCAGATGGGCTGGTCGAAAACATAGAGGCTGATCAGAGTTACTACCTTGGCGAAGTAAACCACTTGGGTGTAACAGATTTCGACAAAAACTTGGCTCACATAGGGCCATGTCCAACTCCTGACTTCGACATGGCGCCAGCGCCAAACACCTTTTGTTCCCTATACCTGCATCCAGAGCATGGTTTCCAATGGGACAGAGAAGACTTGTCCCACATAGAATTCAGTGGGCTAACTGGTATCCAACCAACTGGTTGGGGAAGTGAATTCAGTGATAATGACTGAGTCACAATCTCTGAAGCGAATTTCGGCTTATGTGGCTGAAACCAAGATGATAACGGCTCTCGAAGCCGAAGTAAAGTACATGGCTACACAGGCCAATGATCAACAATTATCTGCTGTTGGCCCAGGAAAGGACTTCGATCCAAGACCTCCTGATATCATGCCAGACGAAATGCAGGAACAGAGGCTCGACGCGATCTATGACGATGAGCCTTTGGGCTTCGAAAAGGATCCCTTGGCGAACAACATTAAGATGTTAGCACAAGACCCTTTAGAAGAAATCAACTTAGGCGAAGGATCAGAGAATAGGCCAACTTACATCAGCGCCAAAATTGATCCAGAACTTAGGTTGGAAGTAATCCAGTTGCTGAAAGAGTTTAAAGACTGTTTTGCATGGGATTACGACGAAATGCCTGGTCTCGACAGAGGATTGGTAGAACTTCAGTTGCCAATCAAACCTGGAAAGAAGCCAATCAAGCAAAATCCAAGACGCTTCGCTCCAGAAATTTTGTCGAAGATCAAAACGGAGGTCGAAAGACTTCTGAAATGCAAGTTCATTCGTGTTACAAGGTATGTCG